ATAGTTATGCTGCTATAGGCTTAGACTTCTGGAGGACATAGGGAACCCCATTTCATCATTCTGCTTCATTCTATCTCTATTCGCCCACTCTGCATAATCTGTTAGTTCAATCTTTAAGGTTCTGGTCTCTCTCTGCTGTTTCTCATAGCAGCTTTGCCTCGTCTATTCCTGTTTGGCTGTGACCCCATAATGGAGAGAAATATCTGCTTTGCTGCTGCCATCAACACCTTTGTTTATAGATGTTTGAGATCGGCCTGTTTTTCCAATGTGGTCCTGTTTCTCTGACTGACTGAATGTGCTCTCTTCATCCTCTGACATGGGAGTTGGCTCAGAGCACGTCTGCCTGGCTGTGTGTTTCCTGGACCAGGCCGCCTTTTACAGCTGTTTTTTGTATCTCTGCTTCTGTCTCCTTGAACCTCAGTCGACCTCAGTAGATGGCCGCTCACACTGATCCTGGTTCTGCTGGAGGTTTCTTCCTGTTAAAAGGGAGTTTTTTACAACCATGCTTAGTGTGAGGGATTGCATTGGAGTCAATGAGTCAATGCTATCAACTGGTTTTCCTTAGATAGAAAACTTTGAATCAATTTGACTGTATGATCTGGTTGAACTGTAAAGTGCCTTGAGATGACATGTGTTGTGAATTGGCGCTGTATAAATAAACTGAATTGAATTAAATAATACTTATATTCTTGACATGACATAGCACAATCAGCAGATAGAAATGATTTGAAACAATTAAGTATAAGTAAAAAACTAAGTACCTCTTGTGTATTTTGCCCTAAAACAGGCTGGTTCTTTATTGAATGAAGTTACTTTTGATGAGTAGCAGGAAATTTTAATCAAGTAAAAGTAGTGTTTCTTCATCATATTTTTGCTCAAGTAAATTTAACAGCTCTTTTCAGCACTGCACATGGGAGTGCTTCCATGGCAACAGGTGACCTCAAAGAAAAGGAGAGAGTGGTGAGAACAAACAAACAAAATCTTAACAGTTGCATTAATAAATGGATTTTAAGGTCTTCCCCAAATAGTCTATTTTTTTAGACAGAAAATGTCTAAAGTATACAGCATCTGCTTGCAAGAGAGTCAAAAGTAAAAAGCACAATCCAGCAAAACTGCTCAGAAAAGTTTTTTTCTATTTATTCATTTCCAAAAATCACTCAAGTAAAAAAAAAAGAGAATACTGTAGATTGTTGGAATATAAGTTATAGTCAGATTAGTACGGTGCATGGCTATTAAACATGATTATCAATGTTTGCAGTGTCCTACAAGCAACATGGCCACAGCATTCATATCAGAAAAGTTACTGTTGTCAAATGAGACCAAATCTATACTTTTTGTCCTGCATGCATGTTTGGCGGAAAACTTTATTGGAACACAGTGGTGGCAGCATGCAATTGGGAGTCTTTTTCTAGAGCAAGGACAAGGGAGACGGTGAGTCCTGAGGGGAAGATGCTGCAGCTAAATGCAGGAAGACTGTAAAAGACTAAAGGCTGCATTTAAATGTTCACCTTCCAGCAGGACATTATCCTGAAACATACAGCCAGAGAAAATCTAGAATGACTGATATCAAATAATATTTTTGCCTTGGGTTGGTGCAGTTAAAGTCTCCACATAATGTTAATAGCTTTTTGGGCTATTTTGCAAATAGGAATGGTCAAATATCTTCTTTTGTAGATGTGAAATATAATAAAGACACAATCCAATGGACTCAAAGTTGTATTTGCTATAAAAGCTGATTTATAGGCCAATGATATATTACCCGTCAGCAACATTAAAACACGCTTACTCCAGTTAAAAAACGTTATTACGTTATTGGCTGGAATCTTGGTGTAGATCTTGAAAAAATATGACATATCCATGAATCTTAAGTCATGGATATGTCATCATTACTACTTCATGTTTCTTCCAAATTACATTTATTCCCTCAAAGTACATGTCCAATAAAACATTCTTAAAAAATGAAATCAAAATCTTAATTAAATCTTAATTAAAAAGAGAAAGTGCTGCATAGCATGTCTGCTTAATAAATAAATATAAGGACAAGGCCATCTATTCTGCCTTTATTTGATTATTGCATAAATGCAGAGCTGGTCATGGATGATATTATTATTATCAGTTGCAGTAAGTATATGTTACAATTTTTTTAGTGTGTTGTTCAATTCTCACCGAAACTAATCATAAGTTTTGTTTGTCTGGATCAAAAACACAAAAAAGTGGCTATTATTCACAGTTTGTGAGGTTGCTACATTTATTTTACAAAGTTTTGATCCAAGGGAGCTAACCTTTATTGTTTTACTTTTGCAAGAACCCTAGGCATGATACATTTTAGACAGGAAAGTTTTTTTTTTTTATCTTGTTCTTGGGAAGTTCTACAAATGGGTTATGATTAGAAGCATGCTGACTTTAAACAATTATATTGTCTGAAAAATAGAAAACTAAATACGACTCATGCCTCTTATTTTAATGAAAGAAATTGCTAACCCAAACAGCTATAACTATGGCCCTTTGATTTCATTTAGATCTTAGACTATATCAGGATTAAGCTGTCTGGGAGCTGGCTCTGCTGCTGCAGCCAGACTCAGTGGATGAGGAGACTCCTTTGTCTCTGTGCTTTCAGTCTCCAAAGCCACCATGATGTCTTTGGCTGCATCTTCCCTCACCTTCCTCTTCTTTGTGGGACTATCCCCAATGGAGCAAATAGCCCTGAAACTACTCCCCTCCCCATGTGTGTCACTTGGATCATGAGGGACTGCCCCTCCTGTTCTTCCTGCCTCTGTCTGCCGCGTCCCAGGACACGCCTTTCTGGAGGGCAGACTTCTATTTATACCTAGTGGGGGACTGACAGTTAACCTTTGCACTGGGGAGAAATATCCAGGAGTGCAGCCAATATCTGCAGGCTACTCTGAATAAACCATGTATTATGTAGTATCTATCTATCTATCTATCTATCTATCTATCTATCTATCTATCTATCTATCTATCTATCTATCTATCTATCTATCTATCTATCTATCTATCTATCTATCTATCTATCTATCTATCTATCTATCTATCTATCTATCTATCTATCTATCTATCTATCTGCCTTTCTTTCTTTGCTGTAGCAATAATCCTGCACCACACACCCTTTCCTCCCCCCTCCTCTCAGTGGTGATAATTGGCTGAGCTTCAACATCCTTTCATTTACAGCCACAGCAAACTGAAAGACTCCATTAAGGCACCTCATCTCTGCCAACAACCCCACCCCCCCCCCTCTCTCCCAAAAGCTTCATTCTTCCTGCAGGGCACTCAGATGAGCCAGGCTGGGGCCCGACCTGATCTATCGATTTACCCCCATCTACAGGTTTGCCTTGGCAGACGCCTCCTTGCTGCATGTTGGTGGCTTTAAAAAGCTCTGAAAATGTTACTGCCTATGGCAGTTTTTGTCTTCTTCACTAGTGTTTTTATTTTTTATTTTGTTAAATTTTATAAATCTAGAATGAATATGGAATGGAGTGAGTTGAGATGAACTGTCTCTGTCATCCAGGTGGCCACAACTGAGGGGAAATCAATCTTTATTGATTGCAGGATAGGATGTTATAATACACCTGCTACAACATGATAGAAACATACTGTATGCAACACACAAAGAAAATTAAATGTAAAAATATACTCCACCCTCCCCACCCAAACAACAACAACAACAACAACAAAAATCATCATTGAGGTTTTTAACAATTCTGGCTGCAGGTTTGACATCTTGGTTTCATGTTATCCTGCCTTATCCTGTCTAAAGTCTTTTAGATTGCTTTGCCCATTGCTTGGAAACTCTTGTGTCTGCAGAAATCTGAACAGACTCTTAACATGATCCTGCCACCACCGTGCTTGACAGTTGAAATGAGTTCAAATGGTTTAATTAGCCACACCTTATGTCATCCGTACAAAATTCGTCTCATTGTGACTAAATATCCCTTTGTTACATTGAAACAAAAAAAAACAACAACATTTCTTCAAAAGGCATTTATCCTTTTCATGTGGAGAGACCCAAATCTAAGGTGTCATAGAGGTAATTAATTTTTTTTTTTTTATCCTCCTTCCTGGCTGACCCATCTGTTTATCTCTGACGGTTATCATCTTCCGGCCGATGACAGAACTGAGGCTTTCAGAATCATTGGTTGTTCTTTAACATCCTACCGAATTAATTTCATTTAAAGCTGATGGTGTTGGTCAGATGGTTGAAACTTTAAGTCGAAAGTTAAGCTCTAAAAATTATTGACACTCAAAAAAGTGATTTATCACACCAGCTCTGATTAAACAAATGATTCCAATGTTATTAAGTAAATAAAACTTATCTATTATGCAGCTTTTCTTGATTAAAATGACAAAATAAACAAACAAAAAAAACAATTAAATAACACAGATGATTAAGAAAAAAGCACATTGTACTATCTAAAATGGTTTTAAATGCCGTTTAATATTTCTGGTTGTAAAATAATGTGACAATTTAACCCATTTCATACATTTATATAAAGAATTACCAGCAGATATACTGGATTAACTTTGAAAAAAAAACTACTTTATAAATTTCCCACGTTAATCCATTCAAGTTGCTTGAAAGGTTCACAAACAACTGTAAAAAAAAAAATGAATTAATGTTCTCTCACAACCTTTATTTTCACTGCTTTATGTTTTACATTGTAAGGATTTATGTAGAGTGGAGTGATTTTCATACAATCACCTTACATCTATGTAGAACATATTTGTTTTGTATGTAAAATAAAAGTTTCTTAAAAGTTCCCCCAGTAGAAAGGTTGAAGCTTTGTCTCCTTTCAGAATGAGGAAATTGTCTTTCTAGTTACCACCAGATGACAGTGTTTATCCCTTTCAGCCCTTCTGGACATGACATCTGCAGACCCCTAGTGGAAGGACAGAAAACTGAAATGTCTTCTGGTTTAAAAAAAAAAGCTTCAAAACCCAGAATTTCTGTGACATTTTATGATAATACAAGTGATAATACAGGTCATGCAAGGAGTGTTTCTTCATCTATGATGTAAGAAAACAAACTCCTCAATGCTTGTGAGAGTGACAAACTTGAATTGAAAACTTAAAAAATCCATATACATCTTCAATTTAGCATGACAAAAATACATTTTTGCGTTTAAATAAAAGCATTACAAAGGGGTGACAGAAATATTGTGGTTAGAATATTTTCTTTGCATTGCAGAGCACATGCCGAGCCCCATACATGATGGAAAAGGTCAATAAAATGGATTCAGGATGAAGAAAATCCTTGCACATTCTTATTTCTCTGCCAAAAGGTCTTCAGCAGCAATAATGCGTTGCTCTATCTAATAGATAATGAAAGATTGCGTGTATGTATAAGTGATAGAGGGAGAAAGGGAGAGAAGGAAGGAGGGCGTTTAGGTCTACTGAGTCTTCATTACACCAGAGCAGAGTCCAACTCCTCTCCTTTGCCCTCGCTCATTGCCTCTGCTGGCCAGGAATAATGAATTACAGTGGATGCCATGGGAGGGGTGGGCGGGGTGGGGGGTTGAATGGCTGGAGTCCATTTTAGATCAAATTACCTCTCAGATCCCATTCAAATGGCAGTCTCTGGCTGCTCTTTGCCTTTGCTAGGCACCCCTGCTGCAGGGTAAATGATCAGTTCACACCTTCTTTCCAATAATGCACTTTACTGACCATGGTTCTCACTTTTTCTGCTATGCTTCACCGTAAATCACTCAAAAGTAAACAAACACAAAATCAAAAACAGAATCAACTTTAGAAGGATAAACAACAGTCACTGTTGTGATGATCATGGGGGAGTGGAGGATCAATTAGTTCAGTCAGCATGCTCAGCCAAATCTGTGTTGCTATCCTCCTCTTCGTTCTGTGGGACAATAACAAAAATGACAGCGTAAACCAGTGGTAATACCACATTATGCATGAAATCCAAACAAATCCTTCTGAGTGTAAATGAAACACACCTACTGCATCTTACAGCTCAGATCAGACTGTGTAAAAATCAACCAGGGCGATAGCGCTGAAAGGTAATGGAATGAATCAAGATCCATCACATTATCTGTTCTGAAGTCGACCGATTCTAGGAACTCACAAACAAAGAAAGACCAAAGCAGATCAATAAACCCAGGATTTACTTTAGGATGAAATAAGAAAGTAGTGAACAAAAGAGTGAGAAGTTGCTCTACCAATCGAAGATTAGAGGAGATTATTTAATAATCTTCATAACCAGGAATCACTATTAAAATATTTCAAAACCACAAACTTTTATGTATTTGTTTGGGATGTAATTTGACGGACCAACACAAACTAGAGGACAACAGGGAGATCGTTAATTTCCTTTTTTATTGGTTTTATTTTATTTCCAAGTACAACTTTGAAAAATCATGCATCTTCTTCAAAATCAGTTTTCAAAGACTTACAGCTGTAGTTATTATGGACATTTCTGCCTAAGCCTAAAAAATCCTTCCCAATTTTCATGTTAAAACTGTTCAATCTCACTCAGACGAAGAAAACCATTTGTTAGCAATTTACATCTCACTACAAATTAAACATTTGATTTATTCTTATGTCTTATGCTTTGAATTGGCTTCATATTTACTTTCCAATATTTTGCAGGCCAATAGGATTTCTGCAGCAGCATTAAAGAGCATCAGTCAACCCTGACTAGCTATGCATGTAAAAGAAAAGCATTCCCATACCATAATGCTGCCACCACCATGTTTACACATGGGGATGATGTGTTAGATGTGTTTATCCACTCTTACTGTTTTGAGTGTAGGCTAGAAAGTTAAGGTTTGGCTCCATCTGACTTAAGCACCTTCAACCAAAGAGCTCCTAACACAGCAGCTGTATTTATGCTGAGATGTATGCGGACTCTGTTCAACAATTAGGTCTTCTGGAGGCAAGCTGTTGTTTTGCATTTTATTTTGAGGGAAAACTGAGTATTATTTAATTAAATATTTTGCTGCACATTTTTTTATGTTATTCCTTCTTAACAGTAATTGATCAATATTCTACTAACACATAAACAGCCCTGCAAAAAAAATAAGTTTGTGGTAGGTGTGGGAATGAGAACGTTTTGTACATAGTGTATTTTCAGTTCTACAGACAAAAAAGACCAAATTTTAAATATTTGTATGATTTAAATACCAGGGTACCCTTTATTTTAATGCTGTAAGTGATTGAACACTTAATGGTCCAGATGAGGTTTGCAGCCTTTTTCCACAGAGGCCTAAAACCCAGTGTTTACCACTTTCTGATTATGGACAGGCATGTTTTGCGCCTCTCAGCTTAGATGGCAGAGGCTGAAATGTAGTCCAACTGATGAGCCCGTCCTCCCGTTAAAAAGAAGAATTCACAACATATCAGCGAACTGGGGGGTAAAAACAACTCAGGTGCAGCAGGGTGGGACGGTGGGGTGAAAGGGACTCGGGCGCACATGGCACTTTCAGGGGAGTCCGGCACTATTTTGGCAAGTTTAACTGCAAAGGGCGCACTGCCACACAAGGAGAGGGGTCGGGTAACCGCTCCTGACTGACCTCCTTCAGCTATTTTTAAAGCTGTGAGCTAAGAGCAAGACATAAACGGAATTGTTTTCTCACCATTAATTAAAAAAAAAATCCACAAAATCCTATCGCATATGTTGTTTCGATTCAACTTTTAAAAGACACTTATAAGGTTTTGCACCCTTCAGTACATTTAAGTAGGCTTTTCTGTTTTTATTTGCAAAATAAAGCTTAAACTATTTTAGAAAAGATGCATCGCGCCCCCCAGCAAAACTTCTACATATTTTTGCATGCATGCGTCAGGAGAGCATCAAACAATTTAACATTTGCTGTTGTGGTATTATTCATTTAAATGCTGATTAAACACTCAGAAACCTTTGTTTACTCTGCAGCAAGTGCTTCTCACCTGTCCATCTCCCACTTGTCCCTCCCTCCTCGGCATGTGGGAAATCCAAAACGCGCAAACCATCGCGGATTTGGACCGCACAGGAGTTCTGGACAACCCGCAACTTTTCCAGGATTAATTCAATGACTTTTATCGCTTTTGTTTTGTTGTGACTTTGCCTACTTCTCTACTAAACTCAGGGTCTTTTAGAATAAACATTCAAAGCTTGTCCCCTTTATGTTTCTCTTCAAACAAACTTTGCAGCACCTATCGGATGGCAGCTTGTTCTGAAACACTGGGAATGTAAAGTCTGGAAACAAACAGAAATAGAACTGCAGACCTGTAGTTGACCAGGACAAGCAAATAGGACTGTGGCTCCAGTTGACAATCGCAGTGATGTTTAATTATGAGTAGGAAAAAGCTCATGGAGGAATCCCTGATACAAAAAAATAAAAAAAAGTTTTAACAATTAAAATATACATTCAATTCTTTTTTTTCTTTCTTTTTTTTTTTGCTGTTTAGAAAATTGCAGGCGACCTATAGGCTACAGCCCAAACTTTTGTGCCTTTGATCTTTGTAGAAGAAAGTGGTAAGAAAGAACAAATTAAATTAATGCAAACAACCTGCATATTTGCTTTATTCATGAATATAAGTTAGAAACCTTAAAAATCGCCAGGATTTTAATTTTCTAATTCAGTTTCTATTTACCATGCAATAGCTTTTTTTTTTTTTCTTTTTTTTTTGCAATCAGGCTTTATACTATTTAATTTTTGTTTATTCCTCCTCTTTGTTATCTGCATCATCTTTACTTTGTTGAATTCATTTATCAAAACTATATAATCAGTGATCCGTTCAGACTTTTACTTTTTTTTTAACACGTTCGTTTTGAGGAAGGTTACACATGAAACTGCACCTAAAGCTTAACTGTGGGTTAAAACCTTGAGAATGATTAACATCTCTTCTTCAAATAAACTTTCTCTCTTATTCCGTCTTGTTTATAAGTCATTACAACAAATATTCCTATTAATACTTTTGAAAAAGGGGGTCTGAGTCAAACAATGGCTTTAATAATGAACTGCAGCTGCACTTTCACAAAGATTTGACTTTTTTCTTTCCAAAACGATGCAAAAGAAAGGTGAAGCCCTCAAAAGCGTTGATCCCACACAGAACACGAGCCCTGGCCTTAAAATAAGCAATTATTGATCATCAGACGGGAATTTGTACCTCCACTCGTGCAGGTTTCAGGGGTTTGCTGATGGGAACTCAGCTGCATTCAATTAGGCTTCATCTAATTTAGCCTAGGCCTTAATTGCACTCAGGGTGGTAGCTGTTTGCACTAAGCCCCGTTTGAGGCTTCTGCAGAGAGAAGACGGGGAAAAAAAGAACAATCCAAATTTAAATGAGACTTATCTACGCCACACCGATCAGACGGATTAAGACTTATTAAAACCTATAAAGGGCTAAAAGCAGAAGACTCAGCAGCAACAAAGTCCAGAAGATTGTTCTGTATTCACAATCAAATCACAGCAAAAAGAAAAAAAAAAAGGGAATACAAACAAATTATATAGACATCATCTACCTGCAGTGCAAAGGGGTAAATGATTCGTTTAAATCAGAACATTTAGTCCAAAAAGGGGATTATTAAGGTAATATTTTAATTTTGGGCACCAAATTTCCCCTTATGTTTTAGGGTTTTTACTTTCTCCCTCAGATCTTGTCTTATCTGTAAAATGTTGCTTATTTTGATAGGAACACGGGTGTGAATTCCAAATTAAAACACGTCTGTGTTAGTTGTCGACTGACTTTTTTTTTTTTTTTTTTTTGGATCAACCTTTTAAATAGAGTTTCTAAGCTTTACTAATTCTACTGCGCTCCTCCTGAGCAACTCACGATAGAAATAAAAATACAAATCATGGGGCCGAAAAAACAATGTAAAATAGGGAAATAATCATACAGGATCTTAAAATAGAAGAGTGCTTTCAGGATTTTTGAAAGGGTGCAGGGTGCTGAAAGATTTGGTGCGACCCCTGCGATGGTGACAGAGCCGATATCTAGGGGGGACCCCCATTCATCTGGAGGCACGGATGATGGCCGGGAAGAAGGAGGGATGGGGGGGAGCTGGGGCCGCATCTGCAGAAGGTCCCACCGCCCTCTGATCAGTGAGCTGGCACACATCACGGCGTCCATTCACAAATCCTCCTCCTGCGCGTCACCTTGTGTAGTACTCCATAGTACTGACGTATACTACAGTTCTACCAGGAGAGATACAGGGGAGGAGGGGGAGCGGTGGGGGAGATAAAATAGGTTATAGGAGCTCAAGGACAGGGCACATGCGCACAACGCGCGCGATTGATTCGAAGGCGCAGGGAGGGTTAAAAGGTATATGTGCACGCGCGTGCGTAAAACAGGAAGAGGGAGGGGGAGTGGAGCTATAAGTGGATTGTGCTGTATACATTCACTGCATGGATACAGAAGTTTAGGCTTCAAAAGAGGCAGGGAATGTAAATTCTTTGGTAAAGACACACAAACACTTATATGGTGCACAAACATAACAGCAAATGTTTCCCATTTTTGCAAAAAAAAAAAACAGAGCTTTGAGGTCATGTTTGTCGAAAAACAGTGAAAAACTAAATTTTTCCTGTAGAATATTTGCAAGTAATTTTTACTACAATAAATAAATGAATAAATATGATGAATGGCTTTGATTTTTACGCCACCATTCGGAAATTCAAGCATCTAATGCGGCCAACATGTGAAATGATTGCAGACGTCGAGGCCTATGGTTTCCGCACGCTGGATTTCATCACTATTAGTCAAAATTGTAAACAATAAATAAATAAACAGGCAAAACCTGCGCCCGATTTCACTATTTATTACGCATTTACGTGAAATGAAAATTATAAGAGCTGTTTTGCACATTTCAAAACCTTCTGGAGAGGAAAGCGGAGCGATGGAACAGGCAGATTTTGAAAAAAAATACAAAAAAATCCTAAATATAAGGGATGTTAGGATCACACCCCCAAACACAGCCAAAAAAAGCCAACAGAAGCCAAATCCTAATGAGAAAATGTTATATATATATTCAATTGTTAAGTGGCGGCAATGTAAAATAAAAGAAATATAGTTTCTGGAGCCCAATTTGACCCTCCACCAACCAGAAAAGTAGAGACAATGAAAATAGTTTTAACCTATTAAAACATGAGACGACCTTTTTTCTTAAGAGCAGAAAAAATACAGTTATATAAACAGAATTGATTATAACAAACATACTATTTGGACATTACAGTGTAATACATGTGTGAAACTTACGCAATATTTGTTACATTTAAGTTTTTCTGTATCAGTGCGGTTGGACATTTTGCACTGGAAAATACACACAACATGATTTAATTAGAAAACAATATAAATATAGAGGGAAGATGTTTCAAACTTATAGAATATTACGTCTTTTAGGGAGGGTGGGGGGTGTTTAGTAGAAGAATATGTAATATGTTGTGTTGCACAAAAGGCCCCTGGATTCTAATTCAGAGTCTGCAATGGTGTCATTTCCTCCAGACGCCCCTGTTTTTTGCTGAGGAGGTTAGAGGCCAAGCCCAGGCGGTAGCGGCTTGTCTGTGGATCCATTGTCTGCTGCTTATTTAGCGCTCAACATTAATCTGAGCTTCCCCTCACAAGTGAGAAACAATCGCAGCGTGAGAGTGTGCCTTGTCTAATTACACCTTTCACTATCAACTTTCTACTGTTTGGACTGGCTGCGCAGAGGCGATGGCTGTTGGTCAGGTACGATTCACAATCCAGCCGTTTAGGTTTAATAAGATATGGTGCAATCTTAACTTTAAAATGAATAAATACTTAAAAATATTCTTTAAAAAGTACCAATTGATGCATGTGTGGGTTAGGCCTTTTCGTGTGATTATTCTAGATTTAGCTTCTGCAGCAGAAATAACAAAATCCTTTACCTTTATACTAAGACGCATTCAAAAAGGTGGAGGTTTAGAATATTATTTTTTTTCCTTCTTTAACACTAACCAAACTGTGACGGGGGTAGTTTCATATGCCAAAAAAAATGAAATGTAAAATAACTTTGAACGTTGCCTGCAAAATGAAGTGCATTCTTATTATGGGAACATTAAAACAAGACATCTGTTAAAACAAGTAGATTTGCAGAGCTTAAAAAATAGATTATCTTTAAGGAAATCTAGGTATGCTCTTCTGGATTGAAAAAATAAATAAATAAATTTGACAAATACATTTCTGATACTAATAAAGAAAAAAGAAAACAGAGCTTTAACTCAGGCGACCCACAGCTTCTCACTCACTCTCCACGCCGCTCTTTCAGTGGATCCCTCCTTGTGTGAACAGACCCGAATCCAAATCGCCGTCCTCGCTGCCTGATGGAGTAACCTCAGAAAACTCGTCTTTGGAGGTGGTCAGTAAAGTTACTCAAAGTTTTGTCTTTGGCGCGACTTCGGGTCCCGAGCAGCGCGCACAAAACAGTTTGTTTGCATCACTGATTTCTTTTAAAGGGATATGGACCCAGTTCTGGGGCCACCGCAGGCTGCGCGACAGGAGAACGCATCTAATAGCACATCAATTCTTGGTCACATCGCTCTGATTATGAAGCGTCTAAACTACATATCATGGGGTGAGCACGTGCTATTTTATAGGGAAATTAAAAAAAAAGTCATTAAATTATATAATTTGGTAAATTCAATGTAATGTGCAAAGAATAATAAGTCTGTTCCATCCCCAAATATAGTTTTTTACGCATAACCTCAGTGCGCTTTTTAAAGCATACTACCTTTTAAAAGTAAAGGTAACTTAAATGTGTCAAAACTGTTGAAAGAGGGTCCAAATTCAACAAAAAGCAAATCATTTGTTCATCAAAATATGCTGCACTTCCCTCCAAATAGGTTATTGGTAGCATTTTTATTAGGTAGATCTTCAGGATTTAATCAGTTGATGAATATTTTTGTTTTTCATCACAAAAAGTTATCATAATTAAACTTCCTCATTCAAATATATGCTGGAGCTTATTTAAGCTCATTGAAATCTGACTTCCTCTGGTGTTATTGGGAGTGTTGAACCCTGGGGATCCTGCATGCTCGCTATTTTTTTTTTTTTTATCCTAAACCAACGCGTCAATCCTCTCGTTGTTTTTGTTTTTCTACCCACAAACCAGCTCACATTTTTTTCAAACTCCTGTGGCAAAATAAAGTAAAAACATGTCACGAAAACTGGGTGTATCTGTGTGCATGCACCGGATTCAAATTAGGCTTTCCTCCTCGTACACGTTCGGGACTCTTCCCCTTTTACTAGGGCGAGGATGGGGCGTTTGTAGATCGCTCCGGATTCTGCGTCACGTGGCCTGGTTTCTACCTTTCTATTGGTCAGGGGCACGTGTCTGGGAGGACGGTGGGTGAACGTCACTCGGGGGGCTCGCATTGAAAATAAGAACAAAACTCCAGAGTGAGAGTATTAGAGCATCAGTTTAGGAGCCTCTTTATTTACCCTTAGTTTAGTTTAGATGTAGGCATTCCCTGGGACGCATAAATCGGATGGTATAAATTGGATTTGTGCGCAAATGGCAAACGCTTACGCTCTGAGATATCACTTATAACCCGATTTTCAGGAAATATATGAGCTAAATTATGCTTTTCTCAAAGGGCACTACGGCAAGACTTTGCGTGGTGTCCAAGGCACTCACTGGTATTTGAGTTGTTTTATTTATTTATTTTACCCGGACAGTTTTTTTAGGGGTGGGGGTAATTTCCCTCAAAGTTCTCAAAATTTCTTGCTGTGGAGGGAGCGACAAAGGGGTTAAAGAGCGTAAAGCGGGGGAAAGTGAATCAGTATGGAAGAAAATGATCACGGCAATAGAGATGCGGTGGAGCGGCAGGATTCAGCGGATGAATCCAACAGAGCTATCCTGCCCCTGTTACAGGCGCCGGGGAACCCGCAGATCCCGCATCGGGTCACCAATTTCTTCATCGACAACATCCTGCGACCGGACTTCGGACGGAAGAAGGATGCGGGCGCGCACCGAGAGGAGAGCATCCAGGCGTCGCGGGAGAGCCGCGGCAGCCCCGCCGCCCCTCAGACCGAACCAGTGGGCAGCACGGTGCCGGCGGAGGGGACCTCCACTCCACACACTGTCACCAGCACCAAGAAGCCCGCGAAAGCTACAGATGAGTCCCCAAAACCCGGTGGGGAGAACGGAGACCAGTGCCTAAGCTCAGATTCAGACAGTTCCCAAGCCAGCTCGAACCCATCCATGTCGCAGCCCATGCTGTGGCCAGCCTGGGTCTACTGCACCCGATACTCGGACAGGCCTTCTTCAGGTTGGTGGCATGCCGTTTTACTACATCCCCGACAAAAAAAAAAAATGCGTTGTAACCTGAAATACCCCGTAACACTGACCCCGAATGCCTTGACCGAGTTTTAGCTGCAGTAAAGAGAGCGATCGCTATGCCGCGCATACGTCAAAAAAAATCTCCTTACTGATATAATACAAAAAAACTAAACATATAAATATCTATATAAACCTGCGTGGTCGCGCATTTAGAAACGGATTTCACGCATATACTTTCCATCGCGCGTAAACAGAGCTAAACAATTTATCTCACTATTATCAAACTATTATTTTCGAACAAGGAGTAGAAGAGCAGGCCTTTACAAAACATGAACAATAGAAACGAAATATTTAATGCTGATCGACAGCATTTTTTCCCCACTACAAAATAATTAATAGTGGCACATTACGGTTACTTTACGCACAGGATTTCTCCTGGTACCTTAGTGCAATTTTGTGTGAATAATCAATTTATTTCGAGTAAATACAAGTGCGATGAGCTGTCTCATCAAGGGAGCTTGGATGCATTCAAACTAACATTTTGTGCACCTGTAGAGTCATTTCCTTACTAATATGTTTTGGATGATATCAAATCTGCAGGGTTTCATAAGAATCGCTGCCCAATTTGCAACAGCAGTGAGCTTCTTTGTTGTAGTGATAAACCAACTCATAAGCTCCATGTATTGTCTACTATCGCTGCAAGGGAGTTTAGTTGTTATATATTTCTAACTTCCCATTGGAAAGTGGAGTACAACTTGTTCTCATGCATTATGGAAAGCTATACTATAGAGTTCCGTGGGCGATTACTACGAGTTGGAGATGTTTAGATTTTCATGCTTTAGGTTTTCATGATTCAGAGTTGATTGTGCATTTCTTTTATTAATGTTTTGCGCTCTGTTTCGAAAGAGGGGGCTCCGTCTTCCCAGATGGGAAAGGATTGTGTGTGTTTCTCAGATTCCAGATTCTGTTCACGTCCGTCCACCAGGGAGTTTTTCAAGTGGCCCACAAAAAAAGTGAAAGGGGAAACACAGAGAGGCAAAGTAGCAGCGCCGAATTGAATTCAAACTCTAAATTGAACAGCAAAAACACGCATTTTTCCCACTAATCCTGCTGTCGTCTGTTAATATTTGTGTCCATGGACTAGAGTGTGTCAGTTTATGCTCAGTGAGTGTGTGTGTGTGTGTGCTTGTGTTTGTAAAGCAGCAACAGGGAGGCATGGCTGCGTTTGGATCCCTGGGACAGCTTTTAAACTATGGTTTGGGCCCCCTTTCTGCAAGTTTTCATAGCAAAATATATCGATTTAAATTTTTCATCTGACAAAATTTTAGCTTATTTTTGGCTCTCCAACCAAACAGATCACGCACGAAGATATCCATTTGTTTACATCCTATTTTGGTCGGCTGTTATAGATTTATGAACAATATGACCGTTTGTTTTAAAGTGTACTTTACGCACACGGGTTTTGGTTACATTGGAGTTAATTACCCCCATGCAAAGTGAAAGAATAACATAAAACTCGGGTTTTAGTTATGTTTTTTGATGGAATACATAACAATAACATTTAATGATGTTCATGAAGCTGTTTTGGTTTAAGATTGCACTATGGATCGAGCTCATTTCGCCATTTTGACAAATCCCACCTTTATTCATATCAACACTTGGTGATTTCGTACTTGTAAACAAACCATTGTGTACTTAAACCACTGTATATTGTTTGTTAATCTTTATGGTGAGGTATTTTAATCAACAATGGTGATAAAGCATTTTCTGATTCTGAAATACAACTAAAACGCTCAAATATCACCCTTAAATATTGTCCAATCGTCAATAATCATCTAAAAACGTCTTATTGTAATTCTCATGTAAAATTCGTGATTTTAAATGAGAATCATAAAACATTTTAAATAGGCTTTGTTTAGACTCTCAGTGAAACAGTAAACACATGAAATATCACTATACATTTGGTACCTAACATGCGTCACTTGTCCTAAAGGGATTTGTTTTTGTTTCGAAATTACCAATTAATAAAAATGTCTAACAAACAATTGCACGTGTTCTCCCTCCAGGGCCAAGATCTCGCAAACCAAAGAAGAAAACAACCAGCAAAGAGGACAAGCGACCACGGACGGCCTTCACAGCGGAGCAGCTGCAGAGACTAAAGTCGGAGTTCCAGACCAACCGGTACCTGACGGAGCAGAGGCGGCAGAACCTGGCCCAGGAGCTCGGTCTGAACGAATCCCAGATCAAGATCTGGTTCCAGAACAAGAGAGCCAAGATCAAGAAGGCCAGCGGCACTAAGAACACTCTGGCCTTGCACCTGATGGCGCAGGGACTGTACAATCACGCCACCGTCACTTCGAAGGACGAGAAATCAGACAGCGATTGATTCCCAGAGAAGCAGCAGCCTCCTGACGAAAAGGAACCTATAGTAATCCTATGATAGATTTATATAGAGATTAAAACTCTACTTACAGGAATATTTAATGCTACCACTGCAGATACTTTAACTACCACTCACTATGGATGTACACAATGCCTCCAAGACACCATTACGCATAAAGGAGTCCCTATTTCTAACCCCACCATAGGCCTCTGTAGGTTTCTATGGGAATATTATAGTGATTTTTTCGTTATAAGGGAGGTATAATTAAGCCTACAATGCAATAAAATGATCGAATAAAGGGCCAATGTATAGCCTATACCAGCATAAATTGTTTAACAAAAAAACAGAGAAAAACAGAGAGATATTTCTGCAATATCACGTCTATAAAAGATGTATAAAGGTACGTTTTCATTGTTTTTCTCGTCCCCGCCCCCTTCCTGGGGCTACAAACGCTCTCCATTTTTATAAGCCGTATAAGGATTACTGCTATCCATGATTGTCATCGCGTTACATTTTATCTAACTGGCACTTGACGTTTTTAACCTGTCAGTAAAGTGGAAAATTAATAAAAAGAAAAAGGAAAAAAAAAGAAAAACTGAAGTCCAAAGAATATTTTTCTGCTGCATCCAGGCTACTGTGAATTTAAATATGCTAACAAGGTTTTTCTAATGCCATGCTCGCTTGTTTTTTTTCTTTTCTTTTTTTCTTTTGTTGTTGATGTTTTTCTGCGTGTAAAAAAGGATAGGTAAATTTGTTAGGGCTAATTGGGCACTGCTTTATTTTTCAGTTTTACTCCCCTCCCCTAACATTGCTGGAGTTTGCTGGAAGTGACCAGTGGCGGTTCTTGTAGAAATGGAACCCTGGGCAAGCCCCTTCTTAGACCACCCCATGCATAAAAAAAAAATCCACATCCAAAATCTTTTCTGCAAAAAAACAAACTCTTATCAATTTCTTTGCTATTATTTTTCATAAGACAAAGAATCAAAAGGGTACCAATTTATAGGCTATTAATAAGAACATATTTTTTATTCCTTGATTGGCTCTGATAAAGGTGATAGCTTTTGATCTTGGTTTGACAAATATCAAATCTCAATGTTAGCAATATATTCTATGATACATAAATTGTTACTCTTTAATTTCAAAATTTTCTATTTGAATCAAAAATATGTCTATTAAAAACAAACCCACACAAAATAGTTTTGCCTTTTTAATGTGCTTTAAATCCTTTACATAAAATAATTGAAATACATCAAATCTTAATCAGCAACTCAGACCTCAAAGGAAAAGTGCTATCGGAAAAAGTGACCGATGAATCTCCACTGCGAATCTCTTTTCTTCACCAGAGATAGTCACTTCAAATAAAAAAACAACAAAAAAAGCCTAGGATTGACCAAGTAGCATACTGTGGTTTGCATCATTGCCTCAGTTTAAGCTGTTTTCTGTCTCTCTTCTTTCTATCATGGCAGCCCCCTAGACCATGCTGCCCTGGGGAGATGACCATAATTCAAAAACCGCCACTGGAATTGACAGGGTACAAATAGGTTTTACTTATTTCTCTTTTTTTTAACCAACACAGAAAGCTAGGCCTTGCTTTTATGATTACTATGGTCGTGTCTCAGCCTTTAAACAAATGTGTGTGCGCTCTTCATTTTATGCCAATGCATCAGTGCAGCTATTATAGTTTTAAATAGCAATATAAATCCTTTCTGTAGCTAAAAAAAGGCTATAATGCTGCCTTTTGAGTCACAGAAACAACTCTGTAGCATAAAGACAATGATGAAAACCATTTCTGCGCACTCTTTAGACTTTTACATGCAGAATGTTGGATGTTCTTGGTAAATCTTTCTCTATTTACATTTTTATTACATATATCATAAAAAGAAGGGAACTCCATCAGTGACTGTAATACAAATGTTGGAAATCTCTTATTGTTGTTGAAAGGACTTCATATGTGTATTTATATAGATTATATTCAGAAAAAAATCTATCCAATGACCAGTGTTGCTTTAGAGTAGATATCTGAGGTGTTTACACTGCTTGTTTATCTTGCAATAACTTCTTTTTGTTTTTTTCGTTTTTTGTTCTTTTCATTGTGAATGGAAAAAAAAAGTTTATGGGGCCTTTTTTGCATGGAAGCTGCAATTTGTTGTACTTTGGGCAAAAACAACTGTGTTTCTTAACTTTGGTCTATATCAACAAAAAAGTATGATCGAGTTTCAGATTGTATCCATACCAAATTGTGAACTTTTTTTGCCTTTTTCAATGTGTTTTTTTTTTCCTTTTTGTTGTGCATCTGCAAAAAGTGTGTATGAATTTAAAAAAAAAGAAAGAAAATCCACCAAACAGAAACACACTTTGCCTTAAAAAGTTCAAGTGGAACTTTTTTTTTCCTGAAACAGAACTGTGCCGAATCAGAAAAGCAGTGTTACTTCAAATGCAGACTTGCTCAAGTTTTAATGCCTTTATGAGAACTGCTGGTACGACATTATGAATTTACTCATCAGCGTATATCTATATATGAACATGTTTAAATGAAATTACAACACAGAGTTGTAGAATACAATGCTATTTTTTATTTTATGTTGGAAGTATTCTTGGTATATATGTACATAATTTGTATCATGTATTAATTGTGTAATTAACTGCCTCCTGAACAGCCGCAAAAGAAGAGTAAATAAAACCTTGGAGATTATACATGAGCAGGTCTCTGGCTTCTCTTGTTCATATGTTGAAATGTTTACATACAGTCTTTATTTGGCAGAATTACCTGGAAAACCATAATGTTCACAAAGTCATTCATATACATAGGAAATGTCCATGAAATCATTGCAAGATCACATTCATTACTTTCCAGATTAAATGAATAAATAAAAATAATCATAATATCATACAAGTGAGAGCCTTGAACAATTCCCAGGCCTGTTTCCCAAAAGATGCCTTATCTGCATTTCCATTCTTGCACCGCTAGTCTTTGAACGCCATGTCTAACGGCCAGCAACTAGCGTTGGGGCTGCTCCCAGCACTGTCTCCGAGACGGTCAGTCTTCTTCGCCGCTTCTGAAAGGAGCCTGAATTTCTATCGCAAGGCAGAAATAAGGAGCAGAAAGGGTGAGAGAGGGAGAGGGTGGAGGGGGAGGGGAAAGAGTGCAATGAAGGTCAAAGCCCGTCATGGCTGCAGGTGGCTGTCCCCCTCCCTTTCCCTCCTTCCTCCACCCTACCCCACCTCCGCCTCTCTTAGTAACCCATTCTCCACACACAGCTTTCACACTCTCTAAACTTATACACTCAGTCTGCCTTACACACATACACACACAAGCGTATTCACACACATTAATCACTGTATTTTTTTTTATTTTATTCTCCCACACATTCCCCAGACTGCATTAATTTCTGCTTCTCCTCTCTGTTTAGCCCTCTCTCTCACACACACACATACAATCACACTCCACTGTTGTTTTGATCCTTCATTCAACCAATAGGAATCTTTATCTGGATGTTCACAGGAACAGGAGCTGCAGGAAGTTCAGATGGGGACACCAATGTATGAGTAGGAGCTAAAGCTGTTAAGGAACATGGGCAAATTCTTCATGAAATTAAAAAAAAATTGTTAGATTAAAAATAGGACATGATTTCTCCAGTGAGGTTATGTCAAAAAGTTATTTTACCTGCAGCAGGTAGCTTCTGGTGTTTTCGTATATTGCAATTTCAGCTGTATTGATTCTAAAATTAAAAGCTAATGTAAAGTTACCTTTGTTGTGGCTGGTAGTGGTGGGTGGGGCGGGGGTGGGGGGTTATTTAATGATACTTTAAAGCTGCTTCGCATTTGTACTTGACGGTTATCTACAGAAAGGCAAGTAATTATTCACAGAAAAAATTAGGACAGGAAGTGTTTCTTCCTGTTTGACCCACATACTGAGTACAGAACACATAAAGTAATCTAATATGAAATTAAAGAAGTTAAAAACTATTAAATTAGTTTAAGTGAACGCTGTTTAATAGATTTTTACACTGCCATACTTACTGGTAAGTACTTCAGAGTTTTATACATGTTTTATTTAGTGGGATTAGGCATAGGCTTATTACTGATAAAGGGAGAGTTTATTACTGTTACCGCAAAACACCTATTACCATCCCTATGGCTTAAATTCCTTTTAGTTTTCTACGTCCCTATACAGAAACCACTTTTTAGTGCAAAGTGTCTGAAAGCACAAAAAAAAATGCAACAGTAACTTAATTATAACAAAGACAAATTAAGCTGTAGAGAAAAAAAAAACAACAAGCAGGCAATGAACATAACAAAAACGCTGGGAAGAAATTTCATTAGATAGTTAAAACAATTTGTTCTTTTGGCAGTATTTTAGGAATTATTATGAAATTTTAGTTTTTGAATATATCGTTACATGATGTTCCTTTTAGTTTTTTTTTGCTTTTAGTGTGAATCCATAAAAGTTTGTCTTTATTTTCCGATTCTAGAACTGTACCAATCTGATGCCAGCCTGGACTTGCAGAAAGTGGCGTTTTTGCATTAACTATACCCACAAAAATCTGTTTAATCTTGGAGTTTGAAGCATAAGAAAAGTTTATTACTAATGGTGTTTTTAAAAAATCACTTGTTCCAACCCCTCTGCCCTGCTGCCCTGGGAAGTAAATCATATAGCATGTATAAAAACCCACCACTGCATGCAGAAAATCAAATATGATGCACCACCCTTTCTTATATTAAATATCTGTTTCTATTTTAACAAAATCTCAACCAATACTGGTTTGATATTTTAACAGCGAAAAATCTTTTTTTATGATGCAAGAGAATACTCTATAAAAAAGAATGGATTTAAAAAACCTGCATTGTATTACAATATTTACAAAAAAGCTAATGTCACTATCCAATAAACTTTATATAAAGCATCTGATAAATTACATGCTAATGTAGGAGTAGTTTCCAAGAGCTCATGACTTTAAAAAATTTCCCTTTTTTTCTCCATTCTTTTCTTAATAAAGTAGCAGAATTACGTCCAGCTGAAGTGTGTTGGTTTAATGGTCAAGCTGTCTGCTCAGGTCGCCTGCTTTCTGCTGCTTAGCAGAATGTTGTTCAACTTCAGCAGTAACAGTTTACATTTCTTTCAATTCTAAACCCAAACAATATATTGGGATTTTTATTATTGTACACAAGCTAACATGTAGTAGCTTCTTTTGACCAGCTGTGCACCACACCAAGTGGGAGTTTCAGCTGTTTTATTCTAGGCTCCAAAAAACTCATCAATGTGTCACTTTAAACCATGATAATTGTACAACATAACTTATTTGAAGGTTTAAAACCATAAGCTTTTAAAAATTTGGGTGTATAGTGTCTACAACAGTTCCATGCCTCGCCTGAATTAAGAAAAAGTAGAGAAAGCTAAATTTTCTGAAGTGAGAGTAGGATGCATCAAGTAAAGTATCAGTGTATGTATCTCTGCACACAAAAGGGCCCCATCCTGCTATGACCTCTCCTACCATCCTCCTCCTCCCCTACTGTGTCATTTACCCACAGTTTGTGAATGCTTCCTATGGCCAGAGAGGAATCTGCTCTGAGGTGCCCAGGCTTTGTGGCGGAAACATAATTAAAGTGGTGAAAGATGTAAAAGGTGAAGAATAGGGATGACATCAGGCCAATTTCACACTTGGCACTCGAATGGCTAGGTCCAAGCCAGGACTCTTGCCTCGCAACACAGATCAAAGCCCACTGTCAATGCACCAGTGCAGGAAAAAAAAAAGAGGCAAAAGGACACCTAACTATGCTAATCCCCAGGACGAATATATTTTAATCTTGTTAGAATACAAGTTAATGCCGGGGCTCAGTGGCTGAACTTTTTTTTTTTTTTATTGCAAGAATGAGAGGTGGACAAAACTACTTTTACCTTTTCTACACAAGGTGCCTCTGTCTGGTGCTGCTGGAAAAACAGCCAGTCTTAACAAACTTTCTTTTGGGCATACTTGTATTATCAAGCTGTATACTGTACAGGCGGCAGATACTGTAGGGGTTCAAGCTGTTGAAAAGGCAAGCAACAGTTTCATTAAGAACAACGAAGGAAGGGGGAAAACAGTGTCAGTGCCCCTGTTTGAAGCCCCACTAAGACATCTAACATGCAAAGGAAATGAGTATTTTGTGGACCAGTTTGTCCCCTCTCACACTGAGCCCTCCTTTCTCAAAAGCACCTTGGTAACCCTTGATCTCTCATGTATGGAAGTCAGGGCACTGGGGCCTGCAGAAGTTGACTGGGGAGACAATAGCAAGTGGATCCATTCTGGTAAAAGTCACACCCAGGCAACTCTCATTTCACACACCGGGTTTGAGTGACCCTTGAAGAAGGATGCAGAACTTTTAAGACAAATTCTTTTGGGACACAGAGAAAACCCACCTGTTGGGGTGTTCTCTGTTAGGAACTAATTTGATTTATAATCAACTTTTTGTGGGTTGCTTTCTACTTAATATGAAGGGAGACTATAGTATTTATTGTACAACACATCAGATCCACATTCACTGATTTAAGGATCCATGATGGACAAATTTAAGAGTTTGAGTCCATTTTATTTGGTAAAACAGGAAACAGAAACTCACATTTCCTTAATAAATTCTACAGATTACAGTGGCTGTAACTTTTTTCTCACCCAGTGACACCTGGAGCACCAATCCCCTCTGACCCCTGCACATGTATAAACAATGGATGGATGGATGGATGGATGGATGGATGGATGGATGGATGGATGGATGGATGGATGGATGGATGGATGGATGGATGGATGGATGGATGGATGGATGGATGGATGGATGGATGGATGGGAACATATATCCTGATTTAGGAATGAAATTGGAAAAAAAAGCAAAAAATGTGTTAATGCAGCACCAGTCTCTATGATTACCACTAAACAGTGGGACTTCTAATTTTCTAATTGGGATTTATACAATCATTACGATATTTTAAAGATTATTTATGCACAATCTAGCAATAAAAATCAGGGATAGAAAACATGGGTTTATTTTACTTACATATTTTGTAGCAGTTATGTAGACTTTGTTAGAAGTCCTATCAAAGTACTACAATCTAGATACAGGGAACAAAATGACATTTTTAAGCCAAATATTTTTGGGGGTATTAATGCTGAAAATGACAAACGTGACAAATAAAGTTATATGAAACTACAGAGGGGAATAATAAAAGGAAAAGTTTTATCAAGACAAACTCATTCACAATAAAATAAATATTGACCAGCAATTATGGGTATTTGTAGTATCCGTTCTGATGGTGATGATAATGATGTAAGCTTTGAAGAGCTAATGATTAAATTTGAGATGGACAAACTGGACACAATAGGCAATTAAGATATTTTATGGTCATTACATTGATGGCTTTAAAAGTGAAACGTAGGGAGAACTGATGTAGTGATGATCTTTGGAAAAATATCCTTTGTTATTTATGATGATGTTGTATATTACAGTAAAACTTACAAACTAAGGATGACTAAAATTAAATAAAGTTATAATATGATAATTTATGGTTATAGGGTAGTTTTTTTATGTCCTAATAGGTACCAAAAGGAAAAGGCGAAAAGGACCTAAAATTCCATCATAATATTTAGTGATATTTATAGCAGTTTAATATTAAGTCACCTTTAAACTAATCTAAACTAGGAATAAGTAAATTTTCCAAGCTATTTCTTTAAGGGTTTTATAAGAAAAATTTTATGATTTTTAACAAAGTTAACCTAGACAAGGATTAAGTGAAATTGAAAAGATTTCTATCTAAATATTTTGTGGACAAAATAAAGTCAAGATTAATCATAGAAATTAAGGATATAAACCTTAATCATCAAGACATTTTGTATTTTTCGAAAATCATCAAAAAAGTTCAACAAGGTACAGATGGAAAAAAAAACAAGTGAGGAACTTTGTGAGAATAATGGAAATTTCCATTTATATCCCAACAAAAGTGATCCAAGTTATTGATTATATAAAACAAAAACTTTTAAAGTGATGATAATGTAGGTCAAAATACCAACTAAGATGGGCAAAACCTGACTTTATTACAGCATTTCATGATGATCCATGGAGGGTAATATAAATAAAAAAAGTATTGAGAAGGAAATATTAATTAATCAATTATCAACAGTTTATGATTATCCCAGGATGACTAATTGTCAACACAATGACTTTTTTTCAGTAATAACATTCCCCGAAGTGTTTGAAAAGGGAGAATATTTACTAATACATTTAACACGGCATACAATCCTAGTAAGCAATATGTGTTCTGTGTAAAATAAAGTACAAAGATTGAAAAGGCTGCTTTGGTACACCAATTACAATAAGCAGTCAGCAATTAGATTAAAAACAAAATACCTGAACAGTTGGTTGAGATCCTGATGGACCTGACAGTGAATTAAAAAAAGCTAAAATGATTACATAGAAATTATTAAGATTTACAATTCCCATCAAATTTAACTCCCGTATTTTAGCAAAAAGTCACAACTGTCATCTCAAGTCACTTTAGTCCAATTCAAATCTAGTTATATACATACATAAAAATTATATGCATATATAAAAATGTTCCAGTGCAATCTGTTATTTTTCTGCAGAGGAGGTTTAATTTATTTCTGTGATACCTGAGAATCCCTGCATACCATAACTGATATAATATTGCTCATACCTAATAAATATCTTCTAATTACTGACATTTCATGGTATGAATGGTTGAGGAGGTAAAATAAAAAGTTCTTGTTCATACATACTGTAGGCAGGTGATGAGATGGCTGTGAAAATATCTATGATTGATTTATATAAATTTATTTAAATTCAAGTCTTTATAAAATTAGATGTTTTTAGCTGAGGTAAATATTTTCCTTGGGTCTAATTTAATCTAAGGAGAAACTAACAAGGATGGATTCGATTTTTTTTAAAGCTGTCTCCATCTCTTCTGATTTTTTTCCCATAAATTAGACCTCAGTTACACGATTTGGCCACATGTAGGTGTCTATAGACATGTTGCTGGTTTTATTTCCAGGTTTTTAGGCTATGTCTAATGTGTCGTGGTTGTTATTATTCTTACTGTCGCTGAAATCATGTACCAGGTTTCTTTAAAAAAATAATATTACAACATTTTTCTAATGTTATTTTGATTTTGATATAATTGTCAGGCTGCAAATGTAAATTAAACAGCTTCTTAAGTATACTAGAAAGTTTGATAAGGTAACAGCTAAAATTAGCTCAATAACTAGTGGAACTATCAGCATAGGTTGTGCTTGTTGCTTCCAGCTGAGTTGCTTTAAAATAGAGGTTTCTTTATAATTTTGTTTATTATGATAGGAAATGTTTTAACAACTACAAAATTTCAGTTTTTAAAGGATAGGAAAATGTATGGCAGCCTATTTTTATGCGAGCTGAATTGCAGTGTGTGGCAGGTGTGGAAGTGGGGACTGCCACATTACTCTGTGCTGCACACAGTCTAACAAAGGTATTTAAAGACAGTGAACAGTAATGACCCTTTGTTGGAAAAAAAAAAGGCATTCAAACTAATTTTATTAGCACCCTAGTATACATTGAAGCTATTAATTGGGCAGTTCTGACTAGTATTTACACATTTTTATGATTTTAACTGCAGCCTCTTTGGTGTGCATCTTGTACATTTAGTCTAGAGGAACCCCACACCTCAAAACACCAACTCCAACTTAAATCAGATTCAAAACTATTTCAAATTAATCATAATTTCCCAAACCTGAGTGTGGGTGTTCTGTTCTACACCTAATACATCAAGGAAAATACTATTATTGGCAACCAAAAAGTCGGTTCAGATTGGTTGGTTAAAGTCCTCACAAGGGACACAGGTGCAAACAAAACTATGAGACATATCATTATGTTGTGTCATGAGGTACAGTATAGTTTCATAAGGCAAGACAGCCTAGGCAACAGAAAAAGCAGATTGGTTGCTTCTTATGTTACAATCTCCTTACACATACTAAATAAAGATGTACAATGTACAGTCATGCCACTTCAGTTTTTACTTATTTATTTTTTTTACTGAGTTCATGTTGCTTGCTGACACACAGCTAGACAGGGTCAAGGATACATCTGACTCACCTCAGACCTCTGCTTTCCCCCCGGAGAATGGCCTGTCACTCACTTTATGGTTATGGATCATAGCTGACAGAGGCACAAAGTGAGAGCTCGATGCTGCATCAACAGCACCAACATCATCGCCAAAAAAAACCATCCTTAGTGTGACATCTTCCTCCTAGTCCACCAACACAGTTCTTTCTGCACCTAGGAAAGAAAAAAAAACATTCAGGCACCAAGAGCTAATAATAAAGTGTCATTCAACAGGAGCAGGGGAGAGCAAAAAATAATGAAATATAGACATTTACCTTTAAATTCTGCACACTGAAGCTCAGACATAGCAAGTGTGGCAATAGAGCTGTTAGGAAGTGGCAGCCAATGCTACAAAGCTTAAAAATGACAGGGAATATTTCTTAATATAAGCCCTTTTTGCACAGACTGTGTAATAGTATAACAGCGTCAGAGTGCTGTAGAAGATAGTCTTTAATTGGTATTAGTTAGATGACAAAATAATCATATCCATAGAGATGTTTGCCTAAGAGCAAAGGGTTTTGCCTATCTGTGATCATGAGGCTTTGTTCTTTTTCTTGATTTAAATTAGGATGGATTTTAAAACAACAGAACCCCGAACAAAGACATCAAGCACATATACATTCCATAAATAATTTAGAGACTTCCCTTTTATAAAATGACATATAGTTAGAAAAATAGATAAAGCACTTGGTCAAAATACTGCAAAAAATGCATCTAATCATTTAGAAATAAAAAAAATATAAAAAACAGACTGGACAAAGAGCAGCAGCATAACTACGCAGTTAGACTGAACACTGAATTTATATATTCATATTGTTTGGATGGCTCTTTGGAAATAATAAATCAAATTTTTAGTTTGTTATGTCAGCCTAAAGAAACTTTGAACTAACAAACAATTACATTTTGGTAGATTGTCGAGGCTGAGAGCAAAACCTACTGTAAGCGCACAATCCCCTGGCTGTAAACATCACTGCCTGGATTATCATTAAATTTAGCTAGGGACAATAAAAGTACTAAAAGTATAAATGTAATAATGTACCAAAAATAAAACACATTTGAAAAAAGAAAATAAATTAAAATGTATGGGTAAAATAAAATAAAGAAATCAACACAATCGAGTTGCGTTTACATATTATTTTAAAGAGATGCTATTTTAAAATTAATAAATCTGTAATTTAGCTCAGTACCTTTTAAAACAGAATATTTGTTTTGCAAAATAACTCAACACAACATGGAACTGTAGCGAGAGAGCCATAAAAGTAAGTTAGTGTTTGAGTTTTAAGGTTTTGTTACAGGTTTCGTGTTTTTTGGCAGCATTAGATTTACCCATCACATGCATAGTGGGTACATATGTATGGCAAAATTCTGTTGAATTTTAGAAAAATTCAATAGAATTTTGCCATACATATGTACTAAATTTTAACAAATTTAGATGTTATTCCTTTGGACTAAAGTCTGGACCAAAATGGTTGCATTTCCAACCAAAAATAAGGTTCTGGTTGCTGAGTTGGCGTACGAGGCGAGCTGAGGCTCAGCCGACCGTGCTGTAGCTCACAGAGGTGGGCGTCTCCCTGTTTTTTTCTTCTACCCTCTCACTCATTTTGCTGCATGCTGCCATTTTAACTCACTCCTGAGTGGCAAGCCAGAGGGCGTGGTTGATGTTGGCGACGGCCATGATGATGGAATCACCATAGCAACTCCTGGGCAGAAGCTTCATCATCCATAAGGTCCTAATGCTACATTATGGTTCGGATCCAAACTTGGGGACGGCGTATTACAGGATTCGCACGTGATGTCACTGATGGTTTGATTTTTGTTTTAGAAAATAAAAATACTTATTATGCTGTCCTAATTTCATATTTGCTTGTTAAGGTTCAAAATATTCAAATGTTTATACTCATTTTAAGTTTCTACTTCAGTTTCTTCTTTTAAAACTATCAATTTGAGTATTTTTTACAAATTAAAAGCAAACCTCTGAAACTTTTAGTCTCTTTCTCTCACCAACTGAAAACAACTAAGGTATTCAGAGTGAAGACATTGAATCCAGTGTCTTATATAATCAGACAGAAGTTAAAGTGTTGCAAAATATATAAATTTGTTACTGAACATTAATGCATAAATATAAAAGGTGTGCGTGAAAAGCTAAATTAAAACTCCTCTAATTTGCCATTTTGAACAGTAAGGTGATCATTAAATTAAAATGAGTATCTGTTTTTTAAAGGTTTAGGCTTTGAAACATGTGAATGCATGTTGGTGCTCATCCTTAAGGATCACGTGTATAATAACAAAAAAATGAACAATTATTTGGCAGATAATTGCTTTCTAAAACATCAATCCTCAAAATTTGAAAAACAAATAAACATATGCTCTAACTGTCTTAAAAAAATCATTAATAATGCCACATTTGATGTCAATCCTAACGATTTGTTCAAAATAAATGTAACTGAGCCATAACTGAACCATGCATTTCTATTCTAATTTGGCCTTTAAGCTAATAATCATGACTTCCTGTTTCTCTTAGGTATAAATATGGTATAACAAAGAAACATTTTTCTTAGCCACTCGTTAAAATGGTTAAAACAATTAAAAGAATCAAAAGAAAAAAATTATAATTTAAACGTATCTTTTCTCACAACAGTATAATCTTACACAGAAAATTGTAGAAAATCTAACTTTCATTTGGGTATGGTAATTTAGTTAAAAATGTTGGAAAGACAGGAGATTTTGCTTTTTAATAACATTATATACTATAATTGCTTTGATAGGAACTATAACTATTCTTATAAGGTAAACTACCGTAACCTAAACCTTTTAAATATACTTATGTATACTTATAAAGATATAATGAATATTTTTAAGTTGGTCATTAAAGATCTTTGACTTAGTAATTCTTGAACTTCTGTTTTTATTAAGTACAAAACTAATTTGAGAGGCCAATTTATCTTAGTCACTTGTGCTTTTTGATCAAAGTAAATAATCTTTTCTTACAAAAGCACAATTGAATACTGAAATTTTAAAAGGTCGAAACTCAAATTTTTCTACTTATATTCAATGGGAAGCAAGAAACCACTGTTTCAATAAAGATTACTTTTCAATACAATATTCCAATAAAGTAAGGAAAATTTGTAATAATTTTCATACAGCAGAAAATTAAAACAAAAACAAATCCTAATGGCCTAAATTTGCATTTAGACAAAAAACAGAAACAATTTTTACAAAAGTTGAAACTGTGACACAATCTTGAACAAGGATCAAAGTTTATCTTGCTACCAAACACCGTGAACAGGATAGAGAGAAAAAGCATATGAAAATGAGAGTCTTCAAGGCTCCATAGCAACTATCTTTTTTATTTTATTTTACAATAACATAAGATGTAGAGGCTACTTACTACAAATAGGAGAATAAAACTCCGCAAACCCATCCAGATGGCAGTCCAGTGAAATACTTATCAAACCCTGCATTAACAGAGTTTCTCATGATGAAGAACAACAAATTTGTTTTTAATCATGAGGCAATAAATTCATGCCTGTGGTCTTTCTTAGCAGCATGTGTTTAATGTGGGTTACATCCATATGCAGCCCCACGTCCCCAACTCCAACTCTGAAAATTATAAAGAAAAAAAACTGTCTTCCTTGACTGACCATGGCATCTCCTAACCAACTATGTTTGAGGTCAAAGTTCATTATATCCCTTGGCAACACCACAGCAACAAGAAACAACGGTGTCTAGACAGGTCATGATGCCCCCCTCCCTTTCCCCAGCAGTGCCAACACCCCCACCAATCCTGGCTCCTTCCGGAAGGAGGTGTCAGTGGCAGCCAAGTACAGGGTAAACAGGGCACAGTGCAAGGGAGGGGGGTGGCCTTTGGCCCGCATGGGGTCATATCAGCACCTCCACCCTCCATTGATCAAAGATGAGGATCCTCCATACCAGGATCTTGGTCAAAAGAGGGCAGGGTCAGGAGATGAACCCTGCGTTTCTGTAATCTAGACGTGTCCAGGCTCAATTGTCTTCTTTCACGCCTCAAAATGGACCCTTCCGGTGCTACTGATTACATTAGGGAGGACACCTTCTTTTTTTTTTTTTGTCAGGGGCTTTCAGACAAAGAAGCTCTTCCATGCTCCTTGCCATCTGGTCCCCAAAATAACAGAAAAGGTCCAAGGAAAGAGAGAGAAAAAAAGAAAAACTAAAAAAAAAGATCCCTGCAAGCTAACAGCTTTAAATGAAAAAAAAAAACTGTTTGAATAGATGGGATGGCTTGACAAGAAAGCAAACATACAGTAAGACCTCATGTTTAAGAAGAGATTAGAAGCCAATCTACATCAGCAAATAAAGCAGCATACGTGAACTTGGATAAGTATGGTTATAGAGTGTAAGATGTGCCACAGATACACACAAACCATGAAGGTATAGAGAGCCTTCATCGGGTTACAATGAGCTATGGTGTCAGTGTTGGTTCTTAAATACATGGCACTCTGGGCAAGCAACCTCTTTCCCAAAATAAGGAAGAGATAAGATTTATTTTTAAACTAAAATTAGCCTTTTTTCAACAAATGGAGTTCAGCTTTTAGCTGTCTTATAAAGAATGTTTTTAATGTGCAAAAAGTGTAAAATAATCAACAGTCTAAATATTGCACCCTTCATAGAAAAAAAAAATCCTTTTTTCTTAAATCAAAACGGTATGCAAATTTTAAGGCTGTATCTAACAGAGCCCTTTGGATTAAAGACGTATTCTTCATCAAATACAAACTTCAGAATCACTAAAGAAAAGAGCCTAAATATCTGACAGAAGAAAATAAAGTGTGCAAATCAGATCCAAACATACAACAATAGGAACAGAATCCAGTATGTTCTCTGGAAGTTCGTTAGTGAATTAAACTAATAAAATACATACATTTTTAATATTATTCTTATTAGTCCTATCCAAATATTAATATTTTGAATGTTTTAATATGTTTAAGCATAAATATCAACAGATTTGACTCAATAAATGGTGACGCCTGAAAACATGGCGCCCTCAGTAGTTAGCCATCTGAAAATCTGTATTGTTACCTCACAAACCGTAACAATACTGACAGATATAAACAACGTTTAAAGATATACAATTATCAAGAAATGGAGAAAGTAAAATGGATCTACTAAACAGACGACTGAAGATGTATTGAATTTGAAGA